AGCTTGATTGATTTTTGGAACTACCCCCAAAGAAACAGACAAACCGGTGCAAAGCTGATGAGCCCACTTATAAATCACTTGAAAACAGCGGTCTTGTAATGCCTGCTAATCCAAGCAATAAAGTTTCTGTTGACATTGTAGTTGAAATTTTCCCACGCTCATAACAATTACTCAGTCATATCCACGACCATTAAGCTGAATCGTTGAGAAATGTCGCCACCGAACGGCTATGCTGTAATCCGTATCCACCAACTGCCGGCAACCTGTTCAAACACGCCTATCGATGACCAGTGGTCAACGTTCATGATAATCGTTGACAGCAGTCCTTGGTCCTTGGCCACTTGTTGGATTGCGCGGTAAGCCAATGGAGGATCAGATTCGCGACGCTTAATTTGGTCCGCCAGGCAGGCCCCACTCTCCGGTTTCGACGACGGTATGGAGGTTAGCCAGCGCCAACGCCCACCTCGATCCAGCACAAACCACCTGTAACACGTCGGCACGAATGTTTGCAGGACAATTGGCCGATTGTCGCAATAATGAGCTCTTGATCGCCCGGTTTGTTCACAGCTCATTGTTCGACGGTGGCCAACTGGCTTCGACGCACATCACCACATAAAAGGCAGGACGAGTGATCGGCGGGGGGCAGCCGTTTAAGTCAGCATTGAGTCACCACCTCGGCTGTGTGTTCCTTCGGCGGTTCTCGGATCGACTCCGTCATCGTTGCGGGCACACGACAACGGCACTGTTATCCGCTCAACTTGGCTACCTACTCGACCATTAACATGTTAGTGACAATAAGCGTTCTTAACGATGTTTGCCAATGTTTATTGTTTCGGCCGACCGGGCACTTTACCTCCCGTAGACCGGCATTCAACCCGCGGTTGAGGCTCTGTTTCCCTGCTTCGTCAACCGCGCAACTAATTATCGTTCAAGTGCAACAAAAACGAGCTCTGATTGCGGACAGCCATAATTTCCTATCATAATAATTATCACAGATCACGTACAGTTAGCACAGCTTTACCGGTTGTTGATTTTAAATATCATTTGGTACCTTATGCCATGGAATGTAGGGAAGTGTTTGGGGCAGTGCTAATGAAACTTAAAATCCTAGGTTTTCAAATAAATAAATAAATTACACATCAACTGGTTATGGACTAAGACATGTGTCTTCTAGAACAGGTTTTCGATGTAATCTAGGTTCTGATTATAAAACTTGGATAAATAGAAATAAAATGACGACGTGAGGACTATGCCACCAACCCAACGTTTCAGCGCCTTTACCAGGGACACCAAGACCCAGAAGAACGACAGCCAGAGAAGACGTCCGAAGTCGTTCTCACCTGATCATCCCATTCCAAAAGAACTTCTGTGAACCAGGCATGAAGTAACCACGGATTTCAGATCCGTAAACTAGTTTGTTGGCATCCTATACAACAAAGACATCATACAAAACAAGGAAAGGCCGATAGAGTACATCTGATAAATTGTTTGTCCAGAGAGGTCTGCGTTGAAGAATGCCGAAGAACCGAATCGAAGAACCTATGGCTTGTCTCTGCAGAGCAAATGAGAAAGGCTCTATCGCTGCAGGGTAAGACAACCGAAGAACCATGTCACAGAATGGGAAGCCATCAACATCGTCCATGCAGATGCAAATTGGATAAAAAGATAGAATGGGAATCAGTCACGAAGAAACGGACAAAACGTAAGATTAACGAGAGGAAATCTGTCCACCATGTCA